CCACAATGTCGATTTTTTTGCCAAGTCCCACACAACCCTAGACATTCGACAGCCTAGGAAATTTTGGCTAAGTCCCTCGCAGCCAAAGACATTCGACCCACACCCCTCGCCACCCAGATTTTTAGACTAAGTTCCTCACAGCCCGAGACATATCTCCCGCACCCCTCTCACTCCTTCCCTAAACATTGTCGAAGTCCACACCAAAACAGCACTGGTGAAAACGGGGGTCAGCAAAATTCACACTGAAACAGGGATGGCAGAGAACATGCCCTGCCAAATATGGATTGGCCTCGACACTACCTTGTTCGATTCGAGGTAGTAAGAGCCTTCCTGGCCAGAGTGATTCGTAGAAAGCGTCCGGCTCTGTGACACGAAGTCATTGACGGTGCACGTCAGCACATATACTGACGCGTGCTGATCCAGGCTGTTGAATCTCTGACCCGAAGTGATGTGACACTTGGGCAAGCAATCTGTGCACACCCTACATGTAACTTCGGCCAAATTAACATTCCACCCAAATCCGGATGAAACAGAAATCAAGAATCCCCGAATCCGGACGAAACAGACCGTGTGGGGGGGGGGTGGGGGGGTGGGTTTCTGGGAGAAACAGAGTACTGAAAAGGCTTAGCGAGAGCCAGGGAGGCAAGAATGGAGGTCTCGCATGAAAGAAGGCGTTTCAAACCCTGCTTTTTCTACGCGTTAGAGAGTCTAGCGATTATCCATAGTTACCCGTGATTTCTAGTATAGAAACTCTAGTTGGACTTAGACCTTGACCGTGGGGGGAAGAGGTGGGCGATGGTTCGCGGTGTGGTTTGTTGCAGAGAAGGGGGCTGCACGGGTTGTTGTGCCAATCAGGGCGGTCGATATTGAAGTGTCGCCCGTAAAAAACGGGTAACCATGTCAACTCAGGTTGGGGGTCAAAAACTTAGGACTTGCGTTTCGAGGGTTTTGCGATCCTCGCTTTAATGAGATCCATGTGACAACGATGCGACCCGAATCCAGCCAGCACTGGGCAGATGGATGTTGGCAATGCTCATGTAGAGCGCGCACACCTTGTCCTGCTCGTTGCCACTGAGGATGGTGGAGTAGCTGGCCAGGATCACAGGTGCGATCACCAGCGTGGCACTGAGCTCCGGCCTCATGACATCCTGCATCGCACGATGCACGTGAGTTTGGGACATGAACAAGGGGGAACCATGAGTACGGTGATGTGATAAAACGCGGGTTGCTGGCCTGGTGGAAGGGTTGGCTGCGCCGCTCACCTGGGCATTGTTCCAGCAGGTTGCACTCTTAGGCGTGGTGGGACAAGACCTCGTGTGCAAACAGTGTGAATGCCTCCCGCGTTCTCCGGGTTGCTGAACAGCTCCTCTAGGGCCTGTTCGTCGCGCACAATGCACACCAAGTACAGGGGGGGTGGGTATGTAGGGGCTCCATGTTGAGACTGAGGGGCAGGGGGGTGGGGAGAGGGGGAGAGGGGGGGTGGGGGTGGCTAGCCCCGGCCCACAATGCGCTGTGGTGGGGGTTAGTACAAGCTGATCCCACCTCGCAAGGTGTTAGAGTATACTATGCTATGATATTTGTGTAAATCCCTAGTTGGGTGTACACCTGTATTGGGGTGTCAATTCAACCCTATTGTGGTTGGAGCTCCCAAACACAAGGACCACAATTGTGGGGCCACCACATGTGGGTTGGTCAAGCCACTTGTGGTCCACCACATTGGACCACCTCCCACTTGTGGTCAACCACATTTGGAAGGATCCCCTCCCTTGTAATTGGTCCTAACCCCCCCCTTCCCTTCCAGCCTTCCCTTCTTTTCTTCATCAATAAACCAACTTTTCTGTTTGTAACATGGTATAGAGCAACAATTGTTCACGCAAAATGTTAATCCCGATCCTTCTCCGCGCTTCCGCCCATCCTCTTCCAACGTGCACCTCATTGTCGTCCCCTCCATCATCACTACCAGTCTTCTAGCCGCTGCCTCTCTTTCCCTCCACGGCTAGTTTTTGCGGAGAAAAAGCAACCACGGGGGGAGTTGCTGCACAGGAGGCGCTTGGGTAGATTGCTAGTGTTGCAACGCAACACTATGTTCAATGAGTGCTTAGTATGCAAGCAGGAATTTCAGTAAGAAAAAAATATGTGTATGGTACAAGCATGCAATCACAAGCATATACTACCCGAGATCCCCAAAACAAACCACTCGGAGCACTCCCCTGCCCAGCTCACGCTTGGGCATCCGAGAAGGCAGAGCACCACACAAAGAAACTAATTACTATGGTATAACAAAGGACGAATGGAAATTTGTCAGCGTGTGAACATCACACACAAAGTTCTCACCACACCAGCCATCTTGTTGGACATGGCACATATTCTTGCACCTTGGCGAGGTCGTTGTCGTTAACGTCCGCAGGGCTGACTTGGCCAACGGTGATGGAGTAGCGGTTGAATGCGGGGTAATGCAGTGCCTTCGTAAGGTAGTCTATCGGCTGCTCAGTCGTTGGAATCTATTGCAACGCAAGCTTCTTGTGCTTCACCATCTGCTGCAGCCAAATGTAACGCTGCTCCATCTGATTGAGACTCCCCTTGAGGCCTAATCCATCTGCAACCGCAATCACGGAAGAGTTGTCGACGTTGAGCATGGTCGGCGTTTCCGGCGTCGAGAAGCTGGAATGCCGCAAGGAGGATGTGCAGGCGACGAGCTTCCTTGGCGGCTTCAGTTGTAGCAATGTATACCGACTCTGTCGACTACTGTGTCACGCACTTGATACGCTGACTTGCGCATGAAACAGTGGTGCCACCAAGCACGAAAATGTAGCCGTTCATGCTACTTCGCGTCTGCTTGTCCCATGCATCATCCGCGTCCGCATAGCTGACGAGACGCAAGGACTCAGGTCCGTCGCTGAACTCTAAAGAAACGTCGCGCGTATCCACCAGATACGCGATGCAACAGTCCAGCTCCTTCCAGAGCTGGTCAGTTCCCACCGTAAGGCCGGACCCCAGCTTACTGCACGTGTCACATGATCGAATGTGTCGAGGAAAAGTTGCACTATCGATTGATACATGGCGCTTTTATACTTACGAGGTACATCAGGTAACCAGGTTTATCCATCCAAATGGAATAGACCCTTCTAGAAATACAATCACCATGCGTATAGCCATATGATAAAATTATAATTATAGGATAATCCAAAAGGTAATGAGAAAGGAGGAATAGGAAACCGAATGGGATGAGATAAAGAGCAAAGGAATCAAGATAAAAAGAAGAATGAGATAGAGAAAAAAGATGGAAATGAGAAAGAAGTGTAACGGGGTCGTACTCTCACACTTCCCCCCCTCAAAGCTGGGTGGTAGAAGTGACACCCTGCTTGACAAGGTAATCACGAAGAGGACGATGAGCGTTACCCATCGATGATGACGAGCATTACCCTTGTCGATGACGACGAGGATTGCGTCATGACCGCTTGTGGTAGTTGGTAACCCGGTTATGAAATCCTGGCTAACCACTTGCCATGGCTGTTTTGGGATAGGAAGAGGCTGTAGCAGTCCTGTTTTTTTCTCCTTGCTGCTCTTCATCCGCTGACATGTATCACACAAGGTGACGACTTTCTGGACGTTGTCTACCATGTAGGGCTAGTAGTAGTGCTTTGCAATACCGGTGAGCGTCTTGTTGTTACCGAAGTGTCCCGGTATAGGACATCGTGGTATTCTTCGAGTAGTAACTGGCGCAAAGGAGAGTAATTGGGTACCCAGATTTTTGTTTATCCCTTCCAGTACGCGATGCCACTATCCCACTGTAGCAGGTGTCGCTTTTCTGCCAAAGGAATTTCGGGGTCAATGGCGTACCCGTGTGTGAAGAGTCCCTTGAGTAGTGGGTTCATCCCTTCGACTTGGATAGCGGCAGCATGTGCAGGCCGACTGCGAGCGTTTGCTTTGTTTTTGTGGCCGGGCTTGTACACGATGTCGTAGTGGAAGTACGTCTCCAGGAAGTCAATCCACCGGACCTGCCGCCTGGAGAGGTTTGGTTGTGTCTTCAAATATTTTAGGCTGCAGTGGTCGGTGTAGACGGTTGTTTTTCGTCCTTCGAGATAACATCTCAACGTTTTGAAGGCGATGATACTAATAAGGGCCTCCTTGTCGTGTATTGGGTAGTTTAGTTCTGCCCCGTGTAGTTTCTTGCTGAGGTAGGCGATTGGTTGCAGTCCATTCCCCTAGTCTTGCATCAAGACTGCTCCCACTGCCTGGTCACTAGCGTCAGTTTCAATGACGTATTCGCGTTCGGGGTCTGGCAAGACGAGTACGGGTGCGGACGTGAGTGCTTGTTTCAGCTGCTCCACTGCTTCCTGATGTTTGGGTTCCCACTTACAGGGCGTGTTCTTCTTCAGCAGATTCGTGAGTGATATTGCGATTTTCGCGTACTGCGGCACGAACCTGTTGTAATAGTTAGCAAAGCCTAGGAACTGCTGCAACTCCTTCACGTTCTCAGGTATCTTCCACGTGCGTACGGCTTCGATTTTCTTAGGGTCGACATGAACTCCTTGAGCGCTCACCATGTGTTATAGGAATTGGACTTTCTCGAGGGCGAATTCACTCTTGGATAAGTTGACGTAGAATCGTTCTCGTCGAAGAATGTCGAAGACGCGTCGCAGGTGTTGGACATGCTGCTGCATGTCGCGCGAGTAGATAAGGATGTCGAACAGGTACACCACTACGCATTCGTCCTAGAGTGGGCATAGAATGTGGTTCATTTTGGCTTGGAACATTGCCGGTGCGTTGGTGAGTCCAAACGGCATTATCAGATACTCGTACGACCCGTACCGTGTCCGGAAGGCAGTTTTGTGGATGGAATTGTCTGCCATTCGTATCTACCAGTATCCAGACCGCAGACCCTGTTTGGAAAATACCGTGTCTCCCCGAAGCTGGTCAAGCAGGTCATAAATTCGATGAATTGGGTTTTTGTTATTGATGGTCTGCTTGTAGAGAGCTCGGTAATCGATGCACGTGCACATGCTTCCGTCTGGTTTCAGTGTGAAGATTAAGGGGCACCGTATGGCGAAGTGGATGGTCGGATGAGTCCTTTTGCGAGGAGATACTCGATCTGTTTCTTCAAGTCAGCTAGCTCCGTGGGGCTGAGCCGATATGGTGCTCGTAAGGTCGGCTTCGAGCCTGGTTCTTCCACGATCTCGTATATGCTTGTCATTGCATGCTTGTACCATACACATATTTTTGGTCCACATCTCGAACCTGGTTCTTCCACGTGGCCCAAAAACTCCAGTTCGTGTTTTAGAAACTCGCACTTAGAGCCCTTGGTGATGAGTCGCTGCTGCTGCAATTGAGAGAAAACGGCTTCCAAATCCTTCAGATGCTGCTCCCGGGTAGTGCTATAGACCAGTATGTCGTCGAGGTACACGATGACGCATTTATCCAGCAGCGGTCGAAAAACTTCATTCATGTTGAACTCGAATGTTGAAGGCGCGTTTGTTAAGCCAAAAGGCATAGCCTTGTACTCGTAGCTCCCGTACCGAGTCCGAAATGCTGTCTTGTAGACGTCAGCTTCGTTCACGAGGATCTGGTGGTAACTGCCTCGCAGGTCAATTTTCAAGAAGAATTTGGCTCCGCGAAGTTGGTCGATGAGTTCGTTGGCACGCAGGATAGGATAACGAGACTTGATGGTAACCCGATTCAAGGCACGGTAGTCAATACACATTCGTAGACCGCCATATTTCTTCGGGGTGAATAGGATCGGAGCTACAAACAAGGATGTGCTGGGGCGAACGAAACCCTTCTCGAGCAGGTAGTCCAGCTGGCGTCGAAGTTCATCCAGCTCAGGCTGAGTCAGCGGCCATTGGGTCCGAACAGTAGGTTGCGCGCCGGGCTCCAGCTCGATTTTGTGGTAATGGTCTCGCTCCGGTGGCAAACCCGCTGGTAGGTCGTCTGGAAAAATGTCGGCGTGTTTCTGAATTATCGACAAGTCATCCGGGACAGCTGCGCAGAGTTTGTCAATGTCGGTCGGCGTGTCAACAGCCATTGAGGCGATCCATTGGACGACGTACAGCTGCACCCCTCGAATCATTGCGCGCTTGATCGTCACGGCGCTTTCCGTCGATGTGGTCAAATCCTGACAGCCCCCCTTGGGTAGTCGTCGCAACTTGCCACTCCATTTTATGCGACAATCTCCCGTTCGCCAGTCGATGCTCGGGTTGTATTCGCGCAGCCTATCGCGTCCCAGTAGCATGTCATGGCCGTCCAAAGTTGTCGCCAGCATCTTCGTCGTGAAACTGAAATTTTTGCCGCATGTCACTCGCACGTGAAGTACTCTCTTTCGAATTGCAACGGGTGTGCCGTCAACCAATCTCGCGTCGATTTCAGGCAAGCACCGCTCCAGCTGCAATCGCATTTTTTTCGCCTTCATTACGTCCATCAAACTGTGGCTCGCCCCACCATCAACGAATATTTTGATGTTGGTGTCGCCAACTCTCTCTTCAACCAACACAAGGCGATCAACCAGTTCACCCCCCTTATTCAGCCAGGAATGGTCGAAATCCCAAATCGACACTATAACCTGGTGGGGGTGGTGGTGTTTGGGCGACGCAGTCAAGTCAGTAAGTGGCCCATCTGCTACTGACGGTCTCCATTTCCCGACTGCTTCTTGTCGCTAGGTAAGTTCTTCTTCAGCTGCGGGCAGTCCTTCACCATGTGACCCGGCTGGTTGCAGTGGACGTAGGTTCCCGAAAATACTCGGGCTGCAAACACGTCCACGCCGCTGATTGATGTGTGCTGGGGCTGGCCTCGAAAACGATTTCCCTCCCGGAAACCCACTCTCGCGAGTCCACGTCGTGCGTCCAACGCGTCTGCTATGCGAACTATTTCGTTGAATGTCGTCGGAGCTCGCAGGACGATCTCTTGCTGAATCTCTGGCTTGAGACCACCCACATAGCAATCGATGCGCTCGTCTTCGCTAAGCCCTCCGATTTGGTCGCAGATCGCCAGGAACGACGCCGTGTATTCTTGGACAGAGCCTAACTGTCTCCACATCCGAAGCTTTGTGCGAGCATTTTCGCGCATGGATATGTGCTCAAATCTGCCCTTCAACGCTTTGCCACACGCTTTCCATGTGCGAATCGTGGCCGACCCAAAGATCGGTTATGCCTTCACCGTTGATGAACTCAGCTCCCCATCTATCGCCCGTTGATTCCCTGCCGGGGCTCCTCCCTAGTCTAGATGCATGCGCCACCAGTCGAGTGCTGGTCCCCTCAGCAGTGACACAGCCAAGTTGACACGTGATGCGTTGTCATTAATACTTGCTGCCGTGAAGAAGATTTCCATGGCGAACAGCCACCCGCTCACTGTAGTTGTCCTGTCGATCGGGTTGAATGGCGGAGGCATTGGTGGTTTGATTTTAATGGCCGCCCGTGGCTCGCTGTGGACTTCTTCAACTGCTTCAGGTGTCGCCGACGCTCTCGCTTCGCTCGCATCATTTTCGTCTCGGGTAACAGGCCGCCCCTGACGCGTTTCACCCCGCGTCTGGCGAAGCGACGAGTTTTCGTTGCGCAGCGTCTGTACTTCGCTTCCCAACGACTCGAATTTGTTGAAGCTGGGCCTGCAATGTCGTCACTGTAGCCGCCCTGGCTTGCAACTCGTCAAATTCCTCCTGAATCACGTTCATAACACTACGACGGGCAGAGGTTTCCAGTGTGGTAGGCATGCTGGAAAATTTACCTGACAGATCTGAGGGTGCACACGCTTTTAGTTGGAGGAGCTTTAACGGGCTCGCCTACCAACCGCAGGCCAACCCCCTATTCTGCCGGGTCCTCTCCCGATATAGAACAGACTACTCTACGGAAGACTAAGCGGGCAGGAACGGGGCTCTGATACCAGCTGTTATGAATTAATCGGAGTAATAACTTGTAGTGTAATAAAGGAGATTCAAGGGTCTCGATACAAATGAGGGCCTAGGCATTTATAGGCACGAACAGAGCTAACCGAGAACCACACGAACAGGTTGGGGCGGTCCGGTTGGCGAAAGCCACGGAAGCGCCGCGCGTCTAGGCTTGGGTTCACGAAATGGTTGGGGACCGGAGAAGTTGGCCGAGCCTGGACTTCCGAGAGTGGAGGGCGTACGTGCTGTAGTCGAGCCCAGTAAGGAAAAGGGAATTTCCTTGCATCCAGCTCCACTGCTCCTTGGTTTCACGACTTGGCTCCTTTGGTGAGCTTGTCTGGCCGACAAGGGTGACAGACGCAACTGTCGCCACTGTCGCCAATGCTGGTTATTGGGCTGTTTTGGGTTCTTGGAGGCTTGCTGTTCTTGAACTCTGTTTCCAAATATCCACGTTCCGTCGCAAAAACTTCGACGAACATTTTTCGCCATGCCTCACGAACTGAGTAACCCGACGTTTTTTAGAATAGTGCCCAATCACGTGCTCTAAGGTACCACTCCCTAATCGGCTCCAGCAAGCACGGCCCACCGAGAGGGTTTCTCCCTAAAATGTTCCGCGCCCATCCCTCGAGCGTCACTGCACCGAGCTGGTATCGCTGGTACCGTTCTGTAATTCACCGTGCACCGTGACACTCCGCCGTTCTCCTCTCTTCCAAACACCAACACACATTTTGTCGACCCGTGATCAGCGAACGCAGTCACTCTACGGCGAGCGCTGCCGCGAGCCTATAGTCGCTCCGCAGCACAGGGCGACGCGGGTTACCCTGTTCGCCGCGTCCCCTCAGCACGCGTCACGCGTCTCGCTGCAGCCCGCGGCGTGATGGCGGCGTGAGGAGCGGAGGGGATCGACCCGGCACGAGACGACACGAAAACAGCTGCGGCGCGGCGCAAGGGGCAGCGACGTGCGACTGGTGCGGGCAGTGGCGGCAGGCGAGGCGCGGAGGGGTGTGGGCAGTGGAGGGGAGTTGGGGGGGCATGGAGTGAGTGCGGGGGCACATGGAGGGAAGGCGTGCGTCGGTGCCGCTGCTGCTGCTGCTGCTGGTCGCCGCTGCCCTCGCCGCCCTGCTGGCGCTGCTGCGCGCCACCGGTAAGCTGAGCGCGCTCAACACCACCCGCCGCGCCCGGGTGCCGTGCTGCCCCGTGAGTAGCGTCACAAGTTTTTCGAAATAGGGAAGAGTGCGCGTACAAGGGTGGGCATGAGTTTGTACTGGGTACGAGTCTGCGCCGCGGCCGAGGTGCTAATCGCATTGGCCACTCTAGCTGGCGAAAGTGCCCCGTGTTGCGAACCGTGCTGGGCTTGTGGTGAAGGTGTGAAGGTTCCAAGGGCGTTGGGTCGTGTCGTATGGTTGCATTGCCGTTCAAAGGCCACCCCTCCCCACGTCTTGGCGCTGCTGCTGCTTCCCATGAATAGGTGCTGCTTCCCATGAATAGGTGCTGCTTCCCACGCTTGGTTGGTGCTGCTGGGCCCATGTAACGCAACCCGCCCTGAGCACTAACCATGCATGCCGCCTTCTCCCTTGCACCTCGTGCCTGTGCCATCCCTGCCGTGCCCTGCAGGCGACCCGTCCTCCCCAGCAGCACTGCTGCACGAGTGGATCACAGCACCACCGCTGCTACCCGCCTCCCCACTCCACCCGCCGCACCCCTCTGCTGCTGCTGCCCCGCGCCAGCAGCCCCCTGCGCACCCACTGCCGTCGTGCCGTGCGTGCCCCTCGTGCCCCCTCCACTCGGGCTCCTGGACGCCCTGCGCAACCAGTGGGGACGGGGGCGGCCGTTGGGACGGGGACGGCCGTTGGGACAGAGACGGCCGTTGGGACGGGGGTGGTGATGGGGAGCGCAATGGGGAGGGGGATGCGGGGACAGAGAGGGGAGAGCGGGGCCACCAGGGGCAGCAAGGGGGGGAAGCAAGCAGCAGCAGTGACGCGCATCACTCGGCGCGCTATTCTCGCTCCTCCTGCCCGCTGCTGCCTCCCAGCATGGACTGCCGGGTGCCTAGGCGCCCTGCCAGCATGGCACGCTACGACCACTACTGCTGGCAACCAGAAGGGTGCCACCTGCCGCTCTTAGACCCTGTTGACTTCCTCCACCGGTGAGGGTGGCCTCCCACTCCATGCTCCCCCATGCTCCCCCATGCTCCTCCATGCTCCACCGTGCTCCCCCATGCTCCCCCATGCTCCCCCATGCTCCCCCATGCTCCCCCGTGCCCCCCTGTGCTCCCCCGTGCTCCCCCGTGCTCCCCCATGCTCCCCCATGCTCCCCCATGCTCCCCCATGCTCCCCCATGCTCCCCCATGCTCCCCCATGCTCCCCCATGCTCCCCCATGCTCTCCCATGCTCCCCCATGCTCCCCCATGCTCCCCCATGCTCCCCCATGCTCCCCCTTGCCCCCCGTGCCCCCCCGTGCTCTCCCGTGCTCCCCCGTGCTCCCCCGTGCTCCCCCGTGCTCCCCCGTGCTCCCCCATGCTCCCCCATGCTCCCCCATGCTCCCCCATGCTCCCCCATGCTCCCCCATGCTCCCCCATGCTCCCCCATGCCCCCCCATGCTCCCCCATGCTCCCCCATGCTCCCCTATGCCCCCCCATGCCCCCCGTGCTCCCCCATGCTCCCCCATGCTCCCCCATGCTCCCCCATGCTCCCCCATGCTCCCCCATGCTCCCCCATGCTCCCCCGTGCTCCCCCGTGCTCCCCCGTGCTCCCCCCTGCTCCCCCATGCTCCCCCATGCTCCACCATGCTCCCTCATGCTCCCTCATGCTCCACCATGCTCCCCCATGCTCCCCCATGCTCCCCCATGCTCCCCCATGCTCCCCCATGCTCCCCCATGCTCCCCCATGCTCCCCCATGCTCCCCCATGCTCCCCCATGCTCCCCCATGCTCCCCCATGCTCCCCCATGATCCCCGATGCTCCCCCATGCTCCCCCATGCTCCCCCGTGCCCCCCTGTGCTCCCCCGTGCTCCCCCGTGCTCCCCCATGCTCCCCCATGCTCCCCCATGCTCCCCCATGCTCCCCCATGCTCCCCCATGCTCCCCCATGCTCCCCCATGCTCCCCCATGCTCTCCCATGCTCCCCCATGCTCCCCCATGCTCCCCATGCTCCCCCATGCTCCCCCTTGCCCCCCCGTGCCCCCCGTGCTCTCCCGTGCTCCCCCGTGCTCCCCCGTGCTCCCCCGTGCTCCCCCGTGCTCCCCCATGCTCCCCCATGCTCCCCCATGCTCCCCCATGCTCCCCCATGCTCCCCCATGCTCCCCCATGCTCCCCCATGCCCCCCCATGCTCCCCCATGCTCCCCCATGCTCCCCTATGCCCCCCCATGCCCCCCCGTGCTCCCCCATGCTCCCCCATGCTCCCCCATGCTCCCCCATGCTCCCCCATGCTCCCCCATGCTCCCCCATGCTCCCCCGTGCTCCCCCGTGCTCCCCCGTGCTCCCCCATGCTCCCCCATGCTCCACCATGCTCCCTCATGCTCCCTCATGCTCCACCATGCTCCCCCATGCTCCCCCATGCTCCCCCATGCTCCCCCATGCTCCCCCATGCTCCCCCATGCTCCCCCATGCTCCCCCATGCTCCCCCATGCTCCCCCGTGCTCCCCCATGCTCCCCCATGCTCCCCCATGCTCCCCCGTGCTCCCCCATGCTCCCCCATGCTCCCTCATGCTCCACCATGCTCCTCCAACGACCCTCTGCTGTTGGGCCCATCCTCATCGCGTTTGCCCTTTGCCTCCTTGCATCCCCTGCCTCCTTCCACCCTCCACGTTTCTCCCTGCGTACCCTCCCCCCCCCCCCCCCCCCCACACTGCCCTGCTGCCAGCTTCCGCAACCGTGTGATAGCGTTCATCGGCGACTCCATGGCGCAGCAGCACTTCGTCTCGCTCATGTGCCTCCTCCTCGCCCCGCCTCGCCTCCCCCCCACCACCTCCGCACACAATACCACCGCCAACCCCAACACCAGCACCACCACCACAAGCGCCAGCAGCAGCACTACCGCGAGCAGCAGCAGCAGCGACGGCGGCGGCGGCGGCAGCAGAAATAGCGGCAGTGGCGCTTCCCCACCCACCCTTCATCCTGTGTCTTGGCAGTACAATCTGAGCTGGGCGGCAGGGTGGCAGGGGTGGAACGGAGGGGCGTACCTGCTGCTCCAGTCCAACACCACCATCCTGCACAAATGGACCACCTCGCTCTGCCACATGGCAGGTGGTGACTGGCGGAACGCATCGCAGGCACATGCAGTGCACCTGGACAGGCCGGATGAGTTCCTGCAGATGTACCTGCCCCAGATTGACCTCGTTGTGCTCAACACCGGCCCGCACTGGTCCAGGTAACCACTAGTGCTGGGGTTCCCTGTCTGCTGTGGCTGCACCCTGTGCCATTGTTGTTGCTGCATGGGCACCTGGGTGCTCATTGCACTGCTGCTTCGCTGCCCACTAGCTGCTCCCCTTCCTGCTCAAATATGTGCTCTTTCGTGCTCTCGCCATGCCGTCTCCCTGACTTTTTTGTTTCTCTTTCTGCCCTTCTTTTCTTCCTCGCTCACTCTATCACCCCCTCCACTCTCTCTTTCTTTCTGCTCCCCACTCCTTCTCCTTCCCCTATGCTCCCACCCTAACCTCCCACTTCCCCCTTCTCTATCGCACCCTCCCACGCCTATTCTCAACCCCCCCCCAGGTGGGAGGTCTCGGACTACCACTGGCTCTTCCACGTCAGCAGCCAGCCTGTCAGCCCTGAGCAGCAGCGCAGGCTAGAATCCAACCCAGCAGTTGGCGCGTACGTGGCCCTGCGCACCACCATTGGCTGGATCTTGACGCATGGGAGGAGGGGAGGCGGGGAAGGGGGGGATGGGGATGGGGCAGGAGAGGCAGGGAGTGATGCAGACGTTGAGGGCAAAGGGACAAACAGTGGGCATGGAAATGGTGCTTTTATCAAGGGGGGCAAGGAGGCAGTTGCGGGCACAGCGGGCAGTGAAGGGGTGTGTGGTGCGCGCAGGGGGCAAGGGCGGGTGCCCATGGTGGTGGTGCTGGGGCAGCCTTCGGTGCACATGACGGGCGGGGGCGATGCACACACCGCGTGCCATGCACTGCCGGTCAGAATGGGGAGGGGGGCATGGGTGCAAGCGAAAGCCATGTGTGGCGGTGAGGGGTACGTTAGGATGTGCGAGGCGGTGTGAGGGGCACATGGGGATGTGAGGGCACGTGGGGATGTGAGGGGCACGTGGGGATGTGAGGGGCCTGTGTGTGTGACATGCAAGTAACCTCCTCGAGTCCTGCTGCTGGCCTGGCTGCCTGGGATGCCACCATGCTGCGGACCCAACCAGGCAGGTATGGGTGAGTTGCGACGGCGCTGAAGCACCAACACACTCACAGATTTACTGCCTAAGCGCATTGAGCACAGTTGAGCGCTTGAGAGGAGGAACACAGTGAGAAGGCGGCAGACGTTGAGTGAGGCCGTCACAGCAGACATGCAGATCTGACAGTGACTTAGTTCGCTGGGTTAACACATGGTCTGGTCGAATGTTCCGTGAAGGTTTAGTCAATACCAGGGTCACGTAAATCAAAGCACATGTGCACATAGAGTGTCAACTCGGGCTGCCCGTGAGTGCCTGTGAACCACTCTCTTCACATGCTTACCCTGCATGCGCCCATTGTTTGCTGAAACTTGTCTCGCCCACCACCCACCTCCCTCCCTATTGTCCCATGTCTTCCCTAACCATGTCCTTCGCTACCATGCTGCTGCCAGCCATTCCTAACAGCCAGGGAGGTCGAACAGCATTCATTTCTGTCCCGGGACTTGACTGCAGAAGCAGCAGTGGCAGACGCCAATGTGGCATTCACAGGAGCAGCAGCAGCAGCAGCAGCAGCAGCAGCAGCAGCAGCAGACGGAGAAGCAGCAACAGTCAGTGAACCGGCAGCAGCCTCAGAACCAACCCCTCTTGACATCTCCACTCCAATCCCCGACTCCCTGCCTTCTCCTCGCCCCCCCTCACTGCCATCCTCCATCCCCGTGTGGCTGCTCAACATCACGGGCCTCACGTCCATGCGCCCCCACGCGCACAAGTCCAAGTGGTTTGGGGGCAGCAGCAGTGAGGACAGGGAGCAGGGGGACTGTGTGCACTGGTGCCTGCCGGGCGTGCCCGACTCGTGGAACGACCTGCTCTATGCGCACGTGGTGCGCAGCGGATGGTTTCCTGCCAGTGATTCCAATTGACCACGTGATAGTGGGTGGATCTCTACTCTAGGTGTTTGTCCTTCTGATGCTGCCAATGTGTGCACTCAATTCGACGGTGTCAGCATAATGGAAGAGCTTAGTATTGGGTCCATTCGGATCATGCAGCACCTTGTACACAAAACCATTGGCTTCTAGTCAACACAGGCGTCATGCCTGCAAATTTAAAGCCCGGGTCCCATATTACAAGACGCGAAAGCCGAGCGCGGCTCGGGATGGGTCTGTAATTTTTCGATTGGTTGCGAATTTGGCGAGCAGAAATGGGGTCAGACGACCACCAGGCCTGTCGCTATCAGGGTATTTTACCCTGATTCCCTGATTTCACAGGGTATTTTTTTGGCCAACCCTTAATTTTCAGGGTTGGGCTTTTTTTAACCCTAACCTCTTCAGGGTTGTATGTCTGTGAACACTTTGAATTTCAGGGTTTGCGTTATCCCAACACTGAGTTTTCAGGGAGTAACGCGTATGTGTCAAACATCTGTATTTGTTATGTTTGTATAGACTGTATAGGGTTACCTCTTAGAGGGTACAACACTTAGGTTTATTTGTGTGTACTCTCACTTTACCATTATTCAATCCTAATTCTGATATGGTATCACGCGTAGGTAGGATCCCCCCCCCCCCACCTCCCGCTTCCGCTCATGCCCCCTAGCGCCCCTCCTGGGCCCCGTCGCGCTCCTCCCAGGCCCCGTCGCGCCCCTCCCAGGCCCCGTCGCGCTCCTCCCAGGCCCCGTAGCGCCCCGTCGCGCCCCTCCTGGACCCCGTAGCGCCCCTCCTGGGCCTCGTCGCGCCCCTCCTAATTCTGATAGTATGAACCCTGAGTGCGACATCCATGTAGCTCACAATGCGGAAATTTAGTCGAAGTCCCCAATCTCCAGAGACATTCCCCCCCACACACAACAACCTACAAAAATTGGTGAAGTCCTCAAACATTCCCTCACACACCAAGCAACCCACAAAAATCGGCTAAGTCATGTGTCGTACAGACATCCCCCCTACACACCTAACAACAACCCACAAAAATTAACTAAGTCTTGATAGGCAATGACATCAAAAAAAAAAAACGGCTTAGTCCTATTGTACACAAGTTATCCCCCCTCCCACACTCCCACAACCAGGGCTCGCCACCCCCCTACCAGCAACCCTGTCAACCCTTGTTTTGCGTTGATATATCTGGGAAACGGGGAAGCCATTCCTAAAAATCGAGGGGGTAAAATCGCACTGCCACGGAAATCGAAACTGAGGGGAGGGGGAATCGAAACCGACGAGGAAATGGGGAGGGAATCAAAATGGGGGGGAGGGGGGAAGCGAAACGGAGGGGAGAGGGGGGGAACGTGAGGGGTGGTGTCGAAACAGAGAGGATGGGGGAAGCGAACGGAGGGGAAGGGGGAAGTGATCGAAACGGAGGGGAGGAGGGAATCGAAAATGGAGGGGAAGGGGGGAATCGAAATGGCAGGAAGGGGGGAAGCTGGGGCATAAGGCGGTGGAAGAAATTTCGCGCCCTTGCAGCGCCCCGGTTGGGAAATCCTAGACGTTAATCACTACCTACCATCGAACGATTGATATTTGTCGAAATGATCGCAAACGATCGTGACCGTTACATTTTGTTAGACTTTCAGTTGACCAAATGGGCAAACTGGCGAGAATTTCCCTATGTTTAAAATGCAGAATTTACACTCATTCCAATGCACTTAAAAAAAATATGTGAAAGTCTCATTCAAAACTTTGACGTGTGTTCCAGGTTTTTTTTATTGCCCGTGTGGTCAACTGAAATTCCATCAAACTTTGCTCTTCCCCTCCCCTCGGCTTGATTCCCTCCCCTATTTCCCCCCATTTTTTATTCCCCCCTCGTGTTGAAAGCAACCCTGAACGCGTTCGTTGCTCAGCTATGCAACCCTGTTTGTGGCTAGCCAACCCTGGAGGTTTCAGGGTTGTAAGTTCCAGAACACTGAGAAATCAGGGAAGCTAAAATTCCAACACAAGGCCCTCAGGGTAATTTTTTTTTTCCATTCGACAGCTCAGGGTGCTTTTTTTTGAAACGACAGCCCTGACGACCACGTGCGAAACAAAATGAAAACAGTAGGGCCCCCATATCGTTATCATTGAACTCAGTGAGGAACACAGAGAAACCCCACAGCCAGCGCGAAGTGCACCCCAGAATGGGCGTGACATACGCTGTTGTTAGTGAAACTGTAAATATAAAACACTTGGAAATCCTCGAGTGTTGGTCCATGATCTTTACTGGAATGGTAGACTAGTAAAACAGCGGAAGTCTTATAAAAAGGTAACAGTCAAAGCAGGGCCTCCGATTGCAAGCTTTTTACCCTGATTCATGATAAAATCAGGGCTTTTTTCGGGGGTGACCCTGATGAGACAGGGACGTTTTGCAACAAACCCCTGAAATTTCAGGATTGTTTTGTGAGTGAACTCTGATCGCTCAGCGTTACTGTTCAAGTGGATCCTGATTCCTGTCACCTCGGCATTGTATGAGGGGACTGGCCTGAATCTTGTAATCGTGATTCCGAGGCCATTATGTTCGGCCGTTTCCCCTCGATGTGTGCTTGGGGTTGTGTGAAGGCAAATTTTGGCCCTTCACCAAATTTCGGGCTGATGTAATGTGTGTTGGGTGTTGTGATATAATTGATACTTAGCATTTCTGTAAGTCGATTAAGTGTAGTTAGTGTCGAATCATACTGTAGAAGATAAGTCCGTAGGATGACGTCAGCAAATAGCACTCGTCATACGACAGTCGTTTCAGTCACGCGAACAGTCGCACCTCTTCATTATCATCTAGGGCGCATAGCGCGATAGTGACGAACAGGTACATTAGCGAATAGGTACTTTTCTAGAACTATAAATACTTGTTAGGTCTTTTCATTATTAACTTTGATTACTCACAAGTTTACGTACTCAGGTTATTCAACCTTGACCTTTACATTTTACAAGACTTCCGCTGTCTTACTAGTCTACCATTCCGGCAAAGATCCTGGACCAACACTTGAGGATTTGCCAAGTGTTCGTGTTTCTAGTTTTATACTTAGTCTACTACAACATCAGTTGATTTATTTCATGGTATGAGAGCTATCTGGAATTAAGACTACCGTCAACTATGACTGGTTCATCACCAGCACCATCTGCCGGATCAGTTACCGGAACTACTGGAGTACATGTCTCCACTACTGCCGCTGGTCTCTCAGCCTCTGGGCACTTTCCACCAGCCTATGCTAATATCGATATGCAACATCAGAATCCGCCTTCTGTGAATACTCCAGGTGCTCCATCGACTGCACCTGCAGCGCAACAGCAACAATCACAAACAACAGCACAGCAACAAGCGTCAGTACAGCCACAAGTTTCAACGCAACCGATTTCTACCTGCGATCATCAGGACACAAAGCCACAGAAGATATATGGCATCAGCGGTTAGGACGCCCATCACAAGGGATTCTGAATCTTTCAATCCGAGCAGCAGTTCTTCATAAAAATAGTTTACTTTTACCTGATGGCACAGAGATGAAGCCGCAGTCTTGTCCGACGGTTTGCACCACTTGTCCAGTTGCCAACCTTACGCACGATCCGTTTTCCAGTCATTTTCCTGGCTCAACACGTTATAAACTGATGCAGAAAGTCTAAAGCGACATAATCAACTTATCTGAAGCAGGACCTAAAGACGCGAAGTATGTGATAACTTTCATCGAAGCGTCTACACGCTATGTCTGGACAGCAAGCTTACCCGCGCGGCATCTCGCTCACTCCGTCTTCGTCGCGTGGCTCGCTGTCGCTGAACGAGAGTCCGGCGTGAAACTACAAGAAGTTCAGAGTGATGGTGCAGGGGAGTACACAAACAACACCTTCACAGAGTATCTTCAGACACTCGGCATCAAACGGAAGAACCTGTCATTCCCGAACCTGTCACCTTGACCGGCATACCTGAATTCATTCCTCTTGCAGATGCTGACCAGGATGATGTTCGCGAAGTTCATCTCAGTTACAAACGCGATCGCCAACAACAGCCGATGCCCGTCGTCTCCGACGAAGCAGTTCGTGTTACACCTGACGAAATTGGGGGGGAAGAAGGACCAGAAGAAAATTTCGCAGGTGCAAACGAAGAACATCCGCGCTTTACAGAAACATGATTACAGATACTGGGGTTCGCTGTCGCAGTACAGTACAACGACAGTAAAATACCTGAATCGAAAACCGTTCGACAAGCTCTTACGAGTCCTCACCGAGAAAAATGGCGCGAAGCCATGGACAAGGAGCTAGAAGCACTCAAGAATCGTGGCACATGGGATTTAATACCGACTTCAGAAGTAAAAGGGAAGAAGGTACTTACCAGAAAATGGGTCTTCCGCGTCAAGACTAATGCAGATGGGTCGTTTGAGAAATTCAAGGCACGATGAGTCGTCCACAGGTTCGAACAGACTTACGGCATCGACTAGGAATTAACTTTTGCTCCTGTCGGCCGACATACAAGCGTTCGGATTCTACTTTGTGTCGCCGCCTGCCGTAATCTCCGACTTCGACAAATCAACGTGTCGAATGCGTTTCTCTACGCGCCTGTCGATGCACTTATCCTGGTAGAGTACCCGCATTCCTATACTACTAACCCACCGAGCATTTGCCGTCTCCGAAAATCCCTATACGGCATTAAACAGGCACCACGGCTCTGGCAGCAGTATCTCCACTCACAACTGATCACTGTCGGTTTTCGTCAACTACCGCATGACCAGGGAATGTATCTACTGACCGACGGCAACAACTTTATTTTACTCGTCGCCTGCGTCGATGACATCCTATACGTTAGTACTACCGATTCTCTTGCCGATACCTTCACACTTAAATTACAGAAAACTCTACAGCTTACCGTATCCGAAACAGTCTCACAGTTTCTTGGTCTGAACATTACCTGTTCACCGACAACTACAGTATCTTATCGCTTCGAAGTATGCAGCAACACTCGCTGCTCGCTTCAACCTCACACCTACTACAGTCTCTACACCATACCGCTCACTACCGACTGACCACAAACCGAACACCGCACTGTTAACTTCAACCGGTTTACAGATCTATCAACAACAGCTAGGCTGTCTACTCTTCGTCGCTGTCACTTGTCGTCTTGATCTAGCCAACGCGGCCAGTCAGCTCGCTCAGTTCCTACGCCGTCCTGAGGAGGAGCATCAGCTTGATCTTCTCCGCGCGCTTCAATATTTTATCTCGACACCTGACGTCAGTTTAGTCTACAACGTCATCGGTTGTAAAACACTCTACCTACATGGTTTTGTCGACGCCGATCACGCTGCTGATTCTACTAATCAACAGTCGCGCACTGGGTTCATCTATCGGCTTGAACCTATTGGGCCTATCTCTTGGAATTCGACGAAGCAGGAGTTGATTGCTCTTTCCTCTGCTGAAGCTGAGTTTATTGCTGTCTGCACAGCAACACGCGAAGGACTTTACTTACAGGAACTATTGGAAGAAGCGAAGTTGACGACAACTACCCAGTTTACCCTACAGTGCGACAATCAAAGTGCAATTTGCATCGCACATCAACCTGGTTTCGTCAACAAGACGAAGCATATTTCGCTTCGTTATTTTTTCGTCAAAGATGAAGTCGAGAAGGGAAGGATGCGATTGGTCTACTGTTCGACCAACGAAATGGCTGCCGATTTTCTTACGAAGAAGCAGACACGACAGAAGTTTCAGTACTGTAACAAGCTCTGCGGAATCTTCAAGAAGTGACACTATCGAACTTCCCGTAATGAAGGGGAGTGTTTTGATATACAGCGACGGAAAGTATTGTCCACATGTTTGTGACTTAGAGGAATTTTGCCATTTTTGGGGGTCATGGACATTAAGCCTTAATCTTCTGGTGTGCCTAGTGTATGTAGGTTGGGGTAAGGCTCCACGCCCATGCCTTACATCACACAAGTATAATGATGTTTACAACAAATACTAGAAAATAACAATCTTGGTACATGTGGACAATTATTGCCAGGCGCAAGCAGCAAGTTACATCAACCCCAAACTAGTACCTAATCCACCACCCTTTCGCCTTAGACACCGCCCTCACCCTCCTGGGCATGCTTTCCACCAGGTGGGTGCACACATCCGCCGGGATCTTCTCCCATTTCTCCTGCACCCGCTCCCAAAGGTCCAGCATACCAGTGGGAGGCTTATAAGGCTTGGCCAACTGCCTCTTGAGATGAGCCCATAAATGCTCCATTGGGTTGAGGTCGGGTGAGGAAGACAGCCACTCTAGCACCCCTGAATCTTACTCTCGAAGCCACTCCTGTACGATACGCGACTTGTGCTTCGGGTCGTTGTCGTGCTGGAAGATAGTTTTTGAGGGTGTAAGCTGGTAAAGCTCAATCGTACAGTTGAGATCGTCCTGCAGTATACTCAGCGAGAGCAGTCCGTCCACCCTACCTTATGTTTTGCTCATGAAACCCGCTCCCTTTTACGACATGCAGTCGTAAATTATCAAGCAACCGCCCCCGTGTTTGACGGTCTGCTTGATTTGGTGTCTTTGGAGGGCAGTCCCTTCGTGAACGCAGGCGTATGAGAGTCAGTCGGATGCAAGACGACCGATCATGGTCTCATCCGCACAGATAACTCGCTTCTAGTCGTCAACCGTCCAGTCTGCGTGGGCACGCGCCCATTCCAGCCTATCGCGTATGTTTTTCCGAGAGTGTCGCGGTTTCTTGGGATGCTTGATTGCGACAAGTCGGCTCCCATTCAAAGCGTTACGCAATGTCTTAGGATGCAACGTGATGCCGTGCCGCTTCTCAACGATTTTCGCCACGTGAGCGGAGATTTCTGCCTCCTCGAGGGTAATCAACCGAACTATGCCGCGGCGAACTCTCTCTGTCACTAAGCGAGGGCGACCGGCTGAGGGCATCGTAGGACGCACGTCATCGCGGCTAGACTCTACAATCGCCTTGATTGGCCGAACTCTTCCCTATGGCTAGCTGTTTAGCGATTCAACGATTACTCTACCCCCTTTGCAACAAGGGAATGATCAATGCGTAGAGCGCCTCATCTAACGGTTTCATGACGGCCTAATCATCGCAGCGGTCCTAGCCTATCTCCTGACTACTCGATAGTCGCGAGGGCAAGTAAGAAGAAATAGCGAGGTTAGGAAATAGATCTACTACGCTGCTTGGCCTAAACTGTCCGGATGCACCCACGCTGACGAAATCTCGTCCTCGGTAAAAAATCGACCCCTATAAAACTGAAACCAGCATCCGTCACATACAGTACAGTACTACTTTACATCCAACCCCGAAATTTGATTCGTAACTAAACAAAGAAGGCACCAAACTAGTACGAGAAATGTTTTAAGGCAATAATCTGGGCAATACTTTCCGTCGCTGTAATTGATACTTAGCATTTCTGTAAGTCGATTAAGTGTAGTTAGTGTCGAATCTTACTGTAGAAGATAAGTCCGTAGGATGACGTCAGCAAATAGCGCTCGTCATAGGACAGTCGTTTCAGTCACGCGAACAGTCGCACCTCTTCATTATCATCTAGGGCGCATAGCGCGATAGTGACGAACAGGTACATTAGCGAATAGGTACTTTTCGTAGAACTATAAATACTTGTTAGGTCTTTTCATTATTAACTTTGATTACTCACAAGTTCACGTACTCAGGTTATTCAACCTTGACCTTTACATTTTACAAGACTTCCGCTGTCTTACTAGTCTACCATTCCAGCAAAGATCCTGGACCAACACTTGAGGATTTGCCAAGTGTTCGTGTTTCTAGTTTTATACTTAGTCTACTACAACATCAGACGATTTATTTTATTGGGGACTGTGTGACGGCATGCGCTGGCCCTTAGCAGGATTTAGGCTACTGGGTGCTGTTGGGGGCTGTGTGAGTGGGGGCAGATATTGGCCCTTCGACAAATTTAGCGCTAGTGCGTGTTGGGGCTTGTGTGAGGGCACGTGTTGTCCCTTCGACAATTTTGGGAAATGATAAAAAAGGGTCCTCCCTTCGCTAGAGGCGTGAGCAAAAAAGGTCCGGCAGCATTTTGCCCCGAGACCTCGTCTCCGAGCCTGTGCTACACCTTATTTTTCATACAATACGCACACATCACAGGGTCACAAATTTGCAGGTTCATGGGGGCGCTTCGTGTCGTGACCCTGTGGTGGGACATTTATACGAATTCAATGAACTGTACAGTACTGTATTAGGGCACCAAAAAAAAAAAACTAAAACCCATAGGGGCACGTCATGCGACTCGGGGTGGCATCAACCCTAAACTCGCAAAAGGGCCGCGTGTTTAGGGTTGATGCCATCCGGAACGGAATTCGGTCCCCAATGGGTTTTAGTTTCTTTTGCCCATTGAGAAATGTTCAGTGGTACCGAAAACGTCCCGTAAATGTCTAAATTACTAAACAAAGAACGAAGTGTATTTCAGGTTCAGGGGCGAGGTCCCTGGACAGAAAGTAGCCGGACCTCTTTTGCTCACGCCTCTGGCAAAGCGAGGACCCTTTTTTATCATTTCCCGACAATTTTGGCACTACTGTCTACTGGGGGCTGCCTGAGGCGAGGACACGTGTTCTATCAGCCAGATTTAGGGCATGATGCGCGGCATGGGGCTTTGTGATCTGAAGCGCGCCAAAAACGAAACTGATGGTCAACGCCAAGAGTGTGAAATGGAATATATTACTGTATAGGAAGGTTTGACTCAGCGGAAAAACGATAGGTAACTCTGATTGATCAACGATTTTTTTTAAGGTAACCTTGAAAACAGGCCCTCAGATTGGTTTTAGGAGGGCTGAAGCCTCAGGGTCGCCCTTGCAACAACCCATAGTTTTCAGGGTCGGGGTTTGGAAGTGACACGTTTTTTCGGGCCCAAAAATTTTCAAGGCTGATTGGTCAGGGCTTCAATCTCGAGTACCCTGATATACAGTATGTGTGCTTTGCACCTGTTTAGGCCAAAACATGCATTGCATTGCATTGCATGCAATGAAGTACTGATATCAGGGGGAATTAGCCACAGGTGTGTCTGTCACAACAACAATCTCACAGTAGGTTATATAATACATCCACATACATACACATAGCCCTGATCCTTGGGTTCGGGTCCCATCATCTGGCCACTGCTGCAGTTGCTGTGGCCACACAAGGCAGAGTCTTCCAGGTGATGCTTCTTTTTGCTGCTCCAAGTGATGCTTCTGCTGGTCTAGGTGATGCTTCTCCTGCTCTAGGTGATGTTTCTGCTGCTCACTCATCTTCCCAGTCACCGCCACCACTGCTGCACTCCTCCCCTTCTGCCATTCCCTCATCCTCGTCCTCTTCCATCTCCTCATCCCCCTCCTCCTCCCCCTCCTCTCCCTCCACCTCCTCCACCTCCTCCACCTCCTCCACCTCCTCCACCTCCTCCACCTCCTGCACCTCCTCATCCAGTACCTTTTCCTTCCCCTTCACACTCCTCACGCGGCGGCGGGGTCGGATACGCGTTGAGAACGGCTTCCGCTTCCGCCCCCGAAACGCCTTCACCACCTCCTCCCACTCAGGGTCGTAGTCTAGGAGCGCCATACTCATCAAGTCTTCTAGTGTCGCATTGCCTAAGCTGCCACGGCTCCAGCTCTTGATGATGTTCTGGCGGCTGAAACCCCTCTTGCATTCCACAGTGCTAAGGGGCAGCACCGCCACAGCTACCCATAGGCGCCCCAAGTTCGGATACGCCTGCAGCCAGTCGTCGGTTTTCAGCATCGCAGCAAGCCCTTCATCAAACTTCCGCTCCCCCACAGGTGCATCCTTCAGCACGGAGATCAGGATGGGCAGCTCCTTGGTGGCTGCTCGCTTCTCCACTCCTGCAGAGCATGGGTGGTGGGGGGGAGGACGGTCCAACAATCCATGTGAGGCTCAAATGGATGGGACAAGAGGGCAACCAAGGAACTGGCAGGGTGCATTCTACTTTCAACCGAGGACAAACAGGCACATGCTCACCAGGTAAGACCTCTCTCCGGCCAGCTGCCCGGAAGAGGTCGAAGAGCGACTGCAGCCAATCCATGCACTGGCTGTTGCGCTCCTTCTTCCCTGGGGGCCAGGCATCAGGGGTGAAGAGCCTGCATCCAGTCAGCTTCTCAAGGTCCCCAAGGCGCTCGAGGATGTTACGGGCCGTCGCCTTTGCAAAGCGCATGCAGTCGCTGCAGCAGTCGTCGTGGTCCCCGTCCAGGCTTTCATCGTGCATCTTGAATTTGTGCTCCACCACCTCGCCGCTGGAGTTCCACCCCTTAACCATGACATCGCGGTTTGTGCGGTGCATGCTGATGAATGCAGTGAGGAGTGGGGAGTTGCCGCCCCCAAAGTTGGCGCCGCACTCCACGTAGCGCTGCTTGATGTACACCACTGTCCGCCTGACGAGTCCATAGACTACCGTCAAGTCGACCTGTGGGGCAGACGGGCTCGAGAGAGCTCAGAGGCACACACGATGAGACAACAGAACAGCACGGAGCGTCTACAAACCAACCTGGTGGGCTTGGAAGGCCTTGTTGAGGGTGTTCAATTGTGTGAGAATGTCAGCAAGGAAGTACAGGTAGAAGTGGAATCTGTAGCTTTTGACGATCTTGTATATGGCGTCATCATACTCAAGCAGCAGGACGACCACTGCAGGGAGCACAGCAACAAGCCGGACAACCGCATCACCTCAAGACAACCAGCGTATATTATAAATACCCTGCATCTCGAGGTTGGTTTGCGTGAAGATGTCCTGCAGCTCCTTGAACCGCGCGTGCCAGTTGCCAGAACGGGTTAACAACTCGGCGACAGAGCGGATGACCTTGTCAACGATGGCAAGCTCGGGAACGCTTGCTGCTGCGTCTTTCACTGCCAATGCCTCTCTGCCACAAGCGGGTGATGGGAGAGTGTATGAGGAGAGACACGTGACTGAACACGAGCACCGGTAATAACGAAGGAGGACGGGGTAGGGCAGCAGGATGCAGGCACCATGCAACATTAACACGGAATAGAGATCAGAAACCGTGCTCAAGCACCCATAGAAATAACAACAGGCGCGTGAATTCAGGCATTTCACAGCATTGCTTACCTGTGGGCTATGCAGTGGGAAGATACCAGGTGAGGTATCTGCATTCGCATACGAGTCACCAACCCGCTGGTGGTGCCCATCATGACGGCAGCGCCGTCCGTGCTGATGCCCGAGATCTTCTCTGGAGCCACTCCGATCTTCGACAAGTGATCCTGAATGAGGGCATGAATAGAGGCTGCATCGCATTGGTCTAGCGTCAGCAGTGCTAGGAATTCTGTTACCACATGGCCGTCACGCAAAAACGTGGCAAAGAGGATTAGATGTTTCCCCCTGGTGCGATCGGTCGACTCGTCGCAGGAGAGACCGATAAATGGGCTCGCGTGCACGTGGCGCATCTGTGAGTTTTGCAGCCACGCTGTTGTGCAACGCATCAGTTGAGCGAAACTGTTAGGATTAAGGACAGAGTCTAGGTGAACTTAGGAGCTAGAATTACTCAAAATATAAATCCGAAATTCTGGACAGAAAAGTCGTCTTCACAAGAAACGACGTCGACAAAAACCTAGCCGTTGGAATGTCGCGAAACTTGGATATGTTGTAGCTCTTAATCTCAGCTACCGTTCCCAATTTGAATCACGTTGATTGATGAAGTATTCGCGACGCTATGGCTTTCGACGCACTAGGGGGTAAGCTGTAGGAGGAGAACTTAACTCAATCTCAAGAGTTCAATCAAAGTTCAAGAATCTCACAAGGAATTAGAAGGAGCAAGAGAAAGGTTGGGATAGGAAGAGAGGGATGAGAGGGAAGGTCCCAAGAGAGTCCCCAACCAAGGAAACCCCATAAGCACAAAGATTCCCTCCCTATAGGAACCCCAACTTTGACATTTGTCCCTTCCCAACCAATCCATCCAAGTTGGCCACCCTTGCCAACCTAGCTTGGTTGTTCCCAACCAATTTGCAGCTGTTACAGTGAGTGACAAATTTCCCAAACCCCCAAAGGTCCCAACTCCATATAGAGTCACCCCACAACTTCACTTTGTAACCGCCGCAATTGTAACGCAAGCTCATGAACTTTGAATCTTCATAGCTTTCGCGTTCTTGCTCCGATTGAAGGGATTCTCGTTGCGTCGGAAAGATCTTCTCAAGATCTATCATCACAAAAAACCTGCTCAAACAAAATAACACAAAACACATTCCCAAACTCCAGAACACATCACACACAAATTCTTGCACACGTTCAAACCACACATGCAAGTTGAAAAAATATGGGATGGGAGGCAGACAGAATGTGATAGCATATGATGACATCACACAACAATCTCCCCCTCTGGCTGCCAACCATCATCCACCATACCAACATCTCAAGCATGCATACTCAATGCACACTCATCCCAGCAAGCTTCATGCCCTTCCAATGATCCGCCTCCGCCAGACGCTTGGTGAAAATATCTGCTGCCTGCTGATGGGTCTTCACTATCTCCAGCCGCACCTCCTTATCAAGGAGTCTCCTCACCCAATGCCACTTAGGCCTTATGTGTTTTGTCAGCCCATGCAGACAAGCATTCTTGGCGAGCTTCACAGCGGACTCATTGTCACAAAACACAACTGTCGGCTTCTCCTGACCAACTCCCAACTCCTCCAACAAACGCCTTAGCCACACTACTTCCTTGGCCCCATGGTGTAAGGCCATGTACTCAGTCTCACATGAGGACAATCCCACCTCATTCTGCTTCTTGCTGCGCCAGCTCACAGCACCACCTCCTAGCAAGCACACATAACCCCCAATGCTGGTGCCATCCGCTTTCACTGAGTTGAAGCTAGCGTCAGTATAGCAACTCAAGAGCATCTCTCCACTCTTCACATCTGCAGCACCTCTCTGCAACCGCTGCCTCACTCCACTGTACTCCAATCCCACTGATGCCGTAGCGCTCACATAGCGGACCAACCTCTTGGCCGCTTCCAGCTGCTCATGACTAGGGCGTGAGACCACACTAGCCAATCGTGATGTAGCAAATGCAATGTCAGGCCGTGTATGATTTGCAGCATAATTCAGCGACCCAACCATCGAATGAAACAGCTTCCTGTCACTATCACCCACTACCTCCTCATCAGCACATGGCTCCACAGTAAACCCTGAAGGTAGTGGTGTTGCTGGCTTTCCCCCATCTTGCAGCCCATACTTCTCAGCCAGCCCCTCACAGTACTTCCTCTGGTGCAACCTCAGCACACCCTTTTCCACATCTCTCTCCACGTGCATCCCCAAGTAGTACTTCACCTCACCCATCTTGGAGCACTTGAACTGCATCTCCAGCATCTGCTCTGCGCTGTCCAGCAAAGCAGTTGATGCAGAAAAGAGAAGGATATCATCCACATACACCAAGAGCATGAGGATTTCATCCTTCTCCTGCAGCAGGAACAGGCTGGGGTCACACTCACTCTTCTTGAAACCCCCAGCCAACAGCGCCTCCTCCAACTTGTGATACCATGCACGAGGCGCCTGCTTAAGGCCATAGATGGCCTTCTTCAGCCTGCAGACCCTGCCGCTCCCGTCATCCAGCCCCTCTGGCTGCTTCATGTACACCTCCTCCATAATGATCCCATTCAGAAAAGCAGTCACAATGTCCATCTGCCGTATCTTCCATCCCAGGAGTGCAGCTATCGCTAACAGCACCCTCAGTGTTGTTCCTTTCCCCACAGGAGCAAACACCTCATCATAGTCCTTCCCTTTTGTCTGCTGAAACCCCCTTGCCACAAGCCTGGACTTGTAGCGGGTCAGCTCCCCTTCAGGTCCATACTTGTGCCTGTAGATCATCTTGGAAGTGATTGCCTTCTTTCCAGGAGGCAAGTCACACAGGTCCCATGTCTCGTTCTCAATTAGGGACCCGAACTCCTCATCCTCACTCGCCTTCCACTTCTCCCCATTTGGTCCATTCAAGGCCTCCTCTCGAGTCTTGGGCTCAGGGATTGGTGCCCAGTAGCAGTGAGCGATCTCATCTTCCTCAATCTGCTCAACCACACTCCCAGCCTGCACCACATTTGGCTTGCCTCTTCCCCCATAGGTCAGCCTCACAGGAGGGCGCACATCCCTCCTAGGTCGCTCAGGCGGGTGTGGAACTCGAGGTGGAGACTCATGTTGCTGTTGCTGCTCCACTTCAGCTGCTCCCCCTTCTTCAGTCACCCCAGATATCTCCTCCTCAGACACTGCAACCTCCACCTGCCTTGAAGGCTGCTGCAACTCATCTGCCTCCACAATGAGTGGTGTAGATGGAAGCTTCTGTTGCTGCTGCTTCCATTCCTTATAGTACAGGGACTCAAGAAACTTCACATCCCTTGACACTGTCAGCTTCTGGATGGTCAAGTCCCATAGAAGCCATCCCTTGTGATCCTTTGCAATCCCCAAGTGCACACCCCATCTTCCAGAAGCCTCCAACTTCCCTCTTTTCTCCTTAGGCACATGAAACACTACCATGCACCCAAATGCCCTCAGCATGTTCACCGCTGGAGCACTCCCATACCACTTGGCATATGGGATCCACTCCTTATCTCCAACTGTAGCC